GGCAGGCACCACGTGCCGCTCGTTAGCTGTAAAATGGCAAGAATATGCTTGTGGCCCTTTGTTTTTATAGTTATATTAAAACGTATGGTCTTTTTTTGATGTATTGCATGCCTTACGCGAACAACTTCATTATTAGCCTTGTTACCAGGCGAGCAACGTGTTTCTGTATTGAAGCACGTTCTTGACTTGACCAAGCAAGACAGCCTGAGCATCTATGAAACGCGAAGGCCGACTTGAGCGTTTTCAAGTCCGCTGCTTGCTTCGCGCCGACTTGCTCAAGTCAAGTCGAAGACGCGGCCAAGTAACATCTCTGCATTCGGGGGTAAGGCAAAATTACCCGAAAAAGGAGTAACGGAGTTCAATAGGCACACGCGATGAACGGATAGACCATTGAGGAGTAACCACAAAGGATGCGTGCCACTTATTAGTCTCCCTCTTCTATGCAAAGGAATGAACCACGCGGGGAAACATTAGTGGAGAGGTCCGCCCAGAAGAAGCGAGTCTAGACGAGATCGTTAGTTTTGTGAAAACCTACGCGGCCAGCCATCGGGCATACGCGAAAGGCTTCTAAAACTTCCAAAAGTCCAAGTGGGCGAGGTAAGACCGCGACTCATCGGCTACCGAGAGTGTGGTAAATTTGACGAAGTAGTGCTCTATTGTGAAGGTTCAAACGCGTGAGATGTCGTCTTGTTTTAACCGACTGTCGGGAGCACGGGACAAGACAGTGAGGTGGTAGATGATTGTACGGCAGTATATAATTGCGCGTTAGAACGAGGCTAGGTCTGCGGACTGAAGGAAGTCATCCGGTGCAGTGAACTTGATAGGACTAAGATTAGTCGTCCGCGTGGTCACTTGCCGGAGAGGCGCCACACAAAAGGTAGAAGCGTCATGGTTATTTTGCGACAGCCCGACAAAGAGTCGGCATCTTGGTGTTTTCATCCCGACTGGTGCGGGACACTGTAGTCGTACTCCTGCAGTTGGAGCACTCAAAGGGGAAGGCGTCATGACATGATAGCACTCTAAGGCAAAATTACCCGACAAAGGAGTAACGGAGCCCAATAGGCGCACGCGATGAACGGATAGACGATTGAGGAGTAACCACAAAGGATGCGTGCCACGTGCAAACCACTTATTAGTCTCCCTCTTCTATGCAAAGGAATGAACCACGCGCGAGATGCCGGTCGTGCGCAAACCACTGTTGAGGAAACTAGCCGTCCTCCTCTCTCCTGGCTCAGTCTTCCCCCCGATTTTGCTGGTCGCAGTACGCGTTGCGTCGCGCTCGGAGAGCTCGACGATCTAGGACTTACGACGCGGTTTTTGTGTGTACACTCGAATGAGCGTGCGCTGCTGCTTTTACGTTTCGCCGCATCCATGAAATCTGGAGCCGGTCTCAACAAGTCGCCACGCAGCGCTTCATATCTCTGGCTTGGTCAAGATGGTGACGACCAACTCACGACACCACCGGTTGGGAATCAAGGCCAACATGGCGGCCGAGAAGACAGCAAGCCTGTCAGATACATTATTTCAGTCTGACTCAGGGCAGAAATCAGCGCTGGATTCTTTGAGAAGTATGTGATCATTCTCTACTCTGCAGTACTTGTCTGGTGTCGCACTTGCGGCAACGGGCTCGGTTGTTTTGTATATCGCACGCACGAAATGCAGCGCGAATGTCGGCTTCGGCATCAGAAGTTCGCCTGTGCTTTTTCGACCGCTCGGAAATTGGCCAGCCATTGCCTCGGCCGCCCGTACGCTCGCTCATCGAGTGTTCGACTGTCTTCGCCACCGTGATTAGCTCCGGGCTGACGATATTTGGGCGGAGACCTCGTCACTGTTTTGCGAGTCGTCCAAAACACGTTGCGGTTGCTCGTAAGCTTGGTTGTAGTATGTCGCGCTCTGTAACTGCACCGGCACGGGCTGGCGGGGCTTTCACTAACGTCGAAACTGAGTCTGTGAAAATTGGTCGCCATTACAGTTGACTTGCCCGTAAATCGGTCAGCCAGCAGCTCGGCGCCGACCGTTGGCGGCTGCCACGGACGGCTGGACTCGCGTTTGCTCGCTGCCCTCAGCTCGAGTTTGTGGAAAAGGGCCGCATTACCGTCGGTTCTTTAGGCACTCACTCCAAACCAACTCAGCGCTGTTAGTGGCGGCGGCCCAGCGTACGGTCGCTCTCCTCGTCGAGGTTCGCTGGCGGCAGACGCTCCGCGTGCAACGCCGTGTTCGGTTGCTCGAGCTGAACGGTGGCGCTTGCTTAAACTCGCTGCCTCGCTGGCGGAACCGTGGTTCGCGGTGCCTCGGAGTTATGACTGCGGTTACCGCACTTAAGCTGTTGCGCAAATGGGATCGACATGCGTCTTTGACGATGTGTGACATCACGTTAAAATATTTTCATGTCCTGTTATACACGTATGTTTTTATCTCACCTTGCTCATATTTTTCGTGCCCATGCATATTCATCCTCTGTCACTGTGAATAACCATTTTTACAATCTTATTGTGCAGCCGTGGGCACACACCGTGCATAAGGCTGTGGACTGTGTGCGCTGGCGTCTGCAATGCCTGTCATCATTTAGATCGCTTCCGTTGGAGGAGCTTCACAAGGACTGTACAAGATGTGACAACGAGGCCGGCATTACACGTTTCACCACGAAGTCTCTTAAATCATGGAGAACTTTTAGGTGTATGGGAAAAAATAAAAGATTTGAATGTCTTTTTGTCTTTTGTTGTTGTAGTGCTGCGAAAGCAGTGATATACAGGGGGCTAAATAACTTTTCGTGTGTACTTTTCCGTGCCATTTGTTTCTCACTGCACAGAAAAACAGGCGAAAAAGTATTAGGCCTGGCGGAGAATAAATAGAGAAACAATATTCGAACTAGGGATAAAAAGTTGATCCGATTACAGTATTTGAGTGAACCACCCGTTCCTCTGGAGAGATACAACTGTGAGGACTAACATTTGCCCAGTAAGCTGTAAATGTGGAGACTAATGGTTGCCCGATAAGGTGTATATGTGAGGACTGAATGTTAGTCCTTTGAGGTGATTTGTGGGACTGACGGTTACTTGTTAAGGTGTAAATGTGAGGAATAATTGACAGTCCATTGAGCCGGTCTGTGGGGACTAACTAAGACCCGGTGCCGTTCGCCTCTAAAAGGAATATTGGCTGTGGCAGCTCCATTAGTCCTCAAAAGAACGAACCACACACCCTTTTAACATCCTTTTGCCTTAGAGTGAGCACACGATAGTCCGTCACGATTGTAAAACTGGTGGCCGCATGAATAGAGGTGAATTATGTATACAGACAACAGCCGTGACCAGACATTGTTCAGTGATGCTGTAATTCCGTTCGGCTGCAGAAAGCACGGCTCGCATAAACCACATCTTGCTCTTACGAAGCCTGGTTCTATGGCTCCTAGCGTCAAGTGCATAACATTGTAGGGGCTGTGGGTTTCAAAGGACGAAAAACTGGCCCTGACATCAGGTTTCGCTTCAGTGTCTGCAAAGCAACTTCCGAGTCGTTGGTACAAACAAATGATGTAGTTGCGGTAAGAATTTTGTCAAGGGGAGCTGCGATAGTGACAAATTACGGACAAACCAGTGGAAGTACGATGCTAAGCATTGGAAGCTGCAAAGTCTTTTAGTATGGTAGGTTTAGGAAAGTGTAACACAGCGACCACTTGTCGGGTCAGGCTCAATGCCAAGCTTGCTGACGACATTACCCAACACTTTGATGCGGTGATTCTCGCAAACTGACATTTATTGGTATTTAGATGAAGACTGGCTTTGGCTAGACACAATAGTACCTCGTCTAGACATTCTAGGTGTTGCGAGAAGCTAAAAAAAATTACCATGGCATTCCTGTGACAATGACTTGTCTTGCATTTTAAGTAAGTACCACAGGCCTGTATTCATCATTCACTCAAATGTGGTTGGGACGTTGCAGAGCCCACAAGGCATCACATTGAATTCGAAGAGAACATCAGGTGTAGAAATTGCGGTTTTCTATTTATCGGACTTATGCATCGGTATCTACCAATAGCCAGAACGCAAGTGGAGTTTCGAAAAGTATTAAGCACCCTGTAAGGTGTCAAGGCCATCGTCAATCCTAGGCGTTAGATATAGAACTTTGTAGGTACTTTTTATGCTGTTTTTTTTCTATATTGCTTCAGGTATAGGCCGATGCGTGGTCGCTTACCACTGATGTGCATAATAAAATGACACATTCTAGGTGTACACTATGAAGATGAATCGATATAATACCCATAGGTCACACTTCATTCGCTATTTCTGATTCTCATGTAAACTTTTCATCCATCTTGGAATGGTTTAAGGGTGTTTAAAATGTCCAAAGCACGTAACAATTACCGGACGGCAATATCATTAAAACATTTTCAGTACCGGAGGACCATTAAGAAAGAGAGAGACAAAAACGTTATAATACCTCTGAAAATGGTGACTGGAGTGTCAATTGTAGGCACGATACTGAATCATCTCTGACGTGTACACCTAAGACACATATCATCATGCACATCACTGGTAAGCAATCACGTACCAGCCTTTTACTGAAACATCATAGAAAGAGCCTAAATGAACAATGCTTTAATTAAGAGCAGAGTATACAAAACATAAACATATACCACAAGTAAATATTTTACTTGCGGTATAACATGCTGTTAATGCACATATTCTACTCGATGTGGTAGGTGTCATGTACTCCATCAACACTTGTGAATAAAATCAGCTATTTTTAGGTAAATTGATTACCACACATAGCCTTTCATAATGATATATGTTGGTATTTAACGTCACTCATAGCCCTTCCACCTGGCTGTGAAGTCCCTTATCGTTTCCTTTTTTCTACGGCAAATGATTCCTCCGATACCCACGTCCTAAATATGTGTGCATCAGCAAATATATAAATTCCGAAGAACTGTCGTTATAAGTAACATTGGCGAGCCAGGCAAAGACGATGGCATTATACTCACCAAAACACTCAGCACCATGTACACGCGGTCTTCATTCAGTTCTTCCGTGACATTGACCAAAGGTTTGAGGGGTTTCGAAACCGCTTCGAAGGCCTTCGTGTCCGACCACTCGGCCACCTGGAACACCATCGAGCAATTCAGTGGAACATTGATTATTCATACCCCGGTGCTACGAAAATTACTACCTGACAAATGCCACAGAATTCTATCGTCACGAGGCAAAATATTCATAGTATTAGCAAAGAAAAACCTAACAATTAGAAAACCGTTGCTCTACATGAAATCTCTAATATTCAAAGCGCAGAACGTGAATTATTCTCAAATGATTTTTTCAAATGTCTCTAAGGGCACTCGTGAAGCTCATATAGGAACAAATTTAGGAGGAACAATGCACTGTGAACTGAATTTTCTTCTCCCGAACATAATTGTGTAGATTAGATGATACGACGCGCTGGGTTCTCGGTAGAAATGATCCTGTACTGCGATATTTCATACATTATATATATATATATATATATATATATATATATATATATATATATATACAAGGAGAGAAGGGACACAACTTAGTGACTTGTGGTTATCTTAAATTTATTTCCAACGGTTTCACCGGTCCACCGGTCGAAACCGTTAGAGCTATTGTGTGTGTGTGTGTGTGTGTGTGCGTGCGTGCGCGTGTGCGTGTGCGTGCGTGCGTGTGTGCGTGTGTGCGTGTGTGTGTGCGTGCGTGCGTGCGTGTGTGTTTGCGTGTGTGTGTGTGTGTGTTTGCGTGCGTGTGCGTGTGCGTGTGCGTGCGTGTGCGTGTGCGTGTGTGTGTGTGTGTGTGTGTGTGTGTGTGTGTGTGTGTGTGTGTGTGTGTGTGTGTGTCTGTGTGTCTGTGTGTGTGCGCGCGACGCTATGATGACTGAGGCGACGTGACATGGCCCAAACGCCATGTTTATTCCATCTCACTTTTTCCTCATCGGCTTCTACCAACCATCGCTACCTTCTTACATTACATGATTCCCCCTCCCCCTGGAAGAAGTCGCGTCAGACACTTAACAAAACAAAAAAAGCAGAGAGTCAAAGCGAAAATGTCTAAATGCACCATAGTTCCATTTCAGAAGGAAGTTCCTTAACTCGCACAAAAAATCCGCAGCAGAGGGAAGCAGTCCGGCCATATCTAAGAGAACTCGGGTGGACGAGGCTGGCTGCTGCATCCTGGATAGCATAACTACGCCCTGGAGATATGCTGCTGATGATGACATCGGCTGAGTTCTTCTGAGGAACGGCACAAGGTATGGAGTCCTTGTAGCGTTTCAGGTTCGGATGTCGAAGGCATCAAATTGTGTGTCGTGGCGGGAACAGAGTGTATTCTTCCAGTTTGAGACTGCGATGGTCGGGGCTAACGGAATGTTGTCTTGGTCACTGCGTTCTACAGATGGTGTCTTTTCGTCTCTTTCGTCGTTTTCTGTGGTTTCGGAGCTGTAGTCGTAGGCGCAGTCTTGATCTCTCATGCCAAATGCGTTTGTGGCTCCGATACCTTATGCGTAAATGCCTCACGTCTTGAGTTTGCTTTAAGAGGCTCGCTTTGCGTCGTCGTCCTTGTTGCCGTATCTGTTGGAGTGTATCGAATCCTTGGACTCACTGTTGGTGGCGTTGCTGCGGTTTTACTGGAACGTGCACAGGTGGGAGTGCTTCTTGAACGTCATGCTGGTTTTCTTTAAAAATTGATGTAGTGTCCAGTCGGCAGCTGGTAGTCTGTGGGCTGTTGTAATGCTTTCAGGCAGTGAAGTTGGTAGTATAGATTTGACTGGAGGAACATCAGAGGCGCCTTGCGATAGCATTCATTACGTAGACTTCTGGCACCTGGTAACCTGTAAGAGTTGCTTCCGAGCTTTCTGTGTTGATGGCTGTGCTCTCAATGGCGACACCGCAATAGGCGCGGTTTGTTCAGATTTTAGTTGAGAATGACTGTCTATCGATGCAACGAACGATGCGAGCTCTTCTGGTGCATGAAACTGAACTGCAGGTCCCGGGCTTGACTGAGTATGCTCCCAGCTTCTCTGATGTATTCTGGTCATAGTGAACACGTGAGACGTGAGGTGGGCGTTGTGAGCGACCGAAGATCCACGCGATGGAAAGGCAGGCGGTTGGTAAATGCGTGAAGGCTGTTTTTGACTGTGACGACCGAGTGGGGTTGTCTGTGGATAGTGGGTTATAAGCAAGTCTTTGTTATAGTCGTCATTGTATTCTTTAAACCAAACCATCCTTTCTCGTTTGATCTTTTCCCTTGACTCGTCGTTTTGAAATATGTGGGTGAGGTAAAATTTGAAGGCATCACCGGAGACGTAGTCGGTAAAGTTGGCGACAATCTCCCGTTCCGACCAGGATGCAGTGGTAGCGTGGAGCTCGAACAGGTCGAACCAGTCCTGTGCAGGTCCACCGTCCACTGCTCCTGTGTACTTGGGGATGGGAAGGTCAGTCGATGATTCCGTCATGATGGTTGCAACGGTGTCCAGTGGCAATGCACTTCTGTGGTCCACCTTTGGTCAATGCGTCTCGCTGAGGTGTTCAATGATGATGGCCGGTTGATAAAGTGGTTGCGAGGTCTTCATCCTGTCGACTCGTGTGACGCTGACTAGGCGACGTGGCCTGGCTCAAACTCCATGCTTATTCCATCTCAATTCTTCCTCATCGGCTTCTACCAACCATCGCTACCTTCGTACAATTGTAACGGCATACTATTGCAGTTCAGAGAGACGTGGACGGTGCGGAAAACATGGCTTTCTACTCAGTCGAACAGCGGCATGCCTTGTCTGTCGCTAGTTGAACCTGTGCTTTCGGCCGGTGTCACCATATCATTTAAAAATCTTGTTCTGGTTGGCACTTTTGCACCGCGTATGTGTTCCGATTGCCAGGCATAACTGGCAAATAATAAGCCCATGGGGCGCATGAGCGCAAGTTCGAGCAAGATTCTAACGCTAAGGTGACGCCGGCTTACAGTACAAATTCAGTCTTGCCACAGGCCGAGGCATGCTGCAGTTCGAATGAGTCGAAAGCAATGCTTTCCGCTGTTCTTTTTTTTTTTTTCAATCGTGATAGTACGTGCCTGAAGAAGTTGCTTCCGCTGTCTGCAACTGGTAGACATTACGTACTGTCAAGGAAGGTCTCTTCGACGTTTAACGCGAAATAAGCACAAAATTCCAGGAGAGGAAGAGCGCGAAATATGCTTACAGACGGACTCTGGTTGTAAAGCTTGGCGTTTGATTTGTGGAGCGTCTGCTCACGTGGCAGTGCAAGGTGGTGCTTCGCCGCGCTTGCAACAGATGGCGTGACGCTCTTTTCAATACGGCAGCTTACACTGAGCTTGCTGTGTACTAGTGTAGAGACGTTTTTTTTTTTTTTGTAGGCACCGCCATTTTGCTAGCAGGTGGTCCTTCTCCGGTCTCGCAACCCATCTCGCATATAGGAAGCTCGCCGTTTGCATAGAAGGTAAGCGTGCGGCTGCGGTTGTATTGTTCCGTTCTACTTTTTACGCGGTGAATTTCGACTAAATTGTGATGCAAGTTCTTTATAAAATGAGTCTATGAGACGTTCTGACAAGGTTTGAAGTTGTTGAGAGTCAATTGTTTTATTTCACATTGCCGTGAACGAGTCGGCATCTGTTGATGCAGTATATTCACAGCACTGATTTTCTGCTCGAAGTACGCGCAATATTTTCATATCTTTCATTTCCAGACTGAGCAACAACACTTCTAGAGCATAGTGAATATCTTTCTTGAGATGCAGTCATCCGCTTTTTTAACAAAATTTCTTTCCACCACGCCGTCGCATCAGCTACCACTCTTGCATGAAGCCCTGACTTGTAGTGTAGTGGTTGGTCGTTATTTCATGGCACTGACGGTTTTTTCAACTGTGCTCTAGCTGTTCAAATTTTTATCAACTCTGAAGGGGTGGCTTTATCTAACTCACTCGTTTGATTTCACAGGTGTGCACTTGAATACAGCTCTTACATCAAACGACGCTGACGTGCCTGCGCACCCCCTTTTAATTTTCTTTTTTTATAATCTCAATATTTCAGGCACTCTCGGTGCCACGGTACTTTGGCCTCGAATAGAGAGAAATGTTACACGAGGCTGTTTTTCGAGGAAATATTGTCGTCGCTAGAATAGCCGTAGGCTGCGTACCTTCTGTTCGTAGCCGAGATTGAACATCGGTGTCGAAGTCGTTGTGATTCGTTCGCCTGAGAAGAAGTGCTCTGAACATACCCGAGTACCCGCGGAAGGTACAACGTTTTTCCTGATTAAGTTTGCAAGCCATAGAAGCCGCTGCTAATCGTCAACAGGAAAACGATGCAACTTGAAATGTTCACAGCTACGAAAACTCCGCGTCTGGTGATGCACATGACATATTTCTTCTGATAGCAGTTCCCTTTTTTTAGTTGTTATTGCGCCCAAAAACAGCGCAATGGTTTCCTGGTGACCACCTCTTGACCGTCATAGCAATGAAGAAAAACAAAATCTGCAGGTTGGCATAATGCACAGCGCATTACTCGATAACGTCACACATACCAGCATAAATACACAACGTCCAAGCCGTCACCCGCATGCCAGAGAGGAGGAATGCGTTGGTTGACAGACCGGCGCTTCTGCCCCGATGCAAAGGTCTATAGACACCACCCGCATCCGAGGAAGATGAGTACGGGGGAAAGGCCCAAGTTTTTACTCGCCCAGACTCACTCGAGACTCAAAACTCGATCCGAGTTTGAGTGAGTCCGAGTGAGTCGATTCATGTCGCTTTCGACCATGATGTCCATGCTCTATGAAACCTATAGGTAACATAAATCGGTGATCTTCTTGTCGCATTTTGATATAGTACCTTCGAATACAAGTTACGAGTTCTTGCAAAACAATAAGATAATTTTTCTTGAAACAGACTACAACCACATTATAAGAAGTATTTAGAAAGAACTTTGCGAAATTTGGCGGGTCCGGGGGCTGGGGGGGGGGGGGGGCGATCATAACACTTTCTTACGGAATTTGCCCCTCTGATCAATAAACATTGAATTGAAGTTGTGTTTGAAAAACAGCCCTTTGGAATATGTGTGTTAAGACATGACTAAAAATGTGAATTCAATTAGGGCTGATAGTAATGGTGAAGATGAGAAGATATGACAGTATGTCGGCAAACAAAGCGGAACTCACTCAGACTCGCTCAAGAACTACACCTTGCGCTTTGGACTCACTCATACTCGGACTCGGCAAAATTTTACTGAGCCGACATCACTCGGACTCGCAAAACTTTTCTTGAACTGGACTCACTCAGAATCATAATCATCGCTCGATCCGAGTGAGTCTACTCACGAGCGAGTTTGCTGGAAAGAAATAGCTGAACGATAGTATTGAGATTTATTTATTTTTTACTGCAACTCACCTTGAATGCCTCATTCGTTGTGTTCAACTGCACAATGTGCACTTTGTAGTCAATTCTGCATCCGTCAGTCGTGAACCGAATAGGACCAGTCAGGCCTTGGAAACTTCTCTGGGAAGGAAGAAAGAAAGGCTGTGCACTAGATGTCTACAACTAAGCATGTCGGTGGTGATCATTACGTGGTTCCTGTTACATGCGAGCTGAAATATCTTTGTTTGGATAAAACAAAAAAGGTAAAAATCGCACACTGTCTCGAAAGGTTGCCGCGTAAAATTCTGCGAAGGTCCCTGCGCGCACCTTAACCCCCACAGCCTTGGTGAAATAATTGAGCATCCGCCGCTGCTGTAGGAAGCAGAAAATTGCTGCCGCAAATTACCTACTGGTTAAATAGATGCAAGCGCATTTCCGGCCATGAAATGCAGAGCCATGAAATGCAGAACCAAGTTGTAGTCGCTTGAGAGGGCAACCATCCTGTGGGAAACAGGTGGCATGGAACCACCTAGCCTAAAATAAAGGTCGTCCTGTATTTTTTTTTACCCATCATGGTGGTCGAGGGCCAATGGCGCTCAAGTGCTGGCCCGAAAGACGCGAGACCGAATCCCGGCAGTGGGGACTGCATTTTCGATGCAGGCTAGAATGGTTCAGGTCCGTGTGCCTTGATTTAGGTGCACGTTAAGGAACCTCAGATGGTCGCAATTTCTGGAGACCACCTCCATACGGCTTCCCTCGTAATCAAATCAACGTTTTGAGATGTTAGACGCCAACAATTATTATCATTGCTGCCGTTTTCATTGTGTTCCATATTAACTATTTGCTTTTTCTTTCTTATTTCATAAAGAACAAAATAAGCGGACACATTAGTTCTGAGACTATTGATTATGCACACGAGATTTTACACAGCAAATATTGACAACAGTATTGTCAAAGTAAATTCAATGTACGTCTAACAGCATCAAAGTGTGTTTTGCCTCCACATGCAGTTAGTCAGTTAAAAGTACTGAGTGTTTTAGGTGCGCGCAATATGAGGCATGCCGTAGTGGAGGGCTCTGAAACCCCCTGGGGTTCATCGACATGTGGTCTGTATGCAATAATTATTTGATTATTTGCTTCTTTGTATGCATGCAATTTGCTCGCAGCTCATTCAATCTGTCATGCTTGTCTGCAGCGCTGTTTTGATAGATTAGACCTGTTCATTCGCATTCATTTTTTATGATGACTGAATATTAGTGGCTGTAGAAAGAAATTTGCTAGCACGTCTGTCGCAAACGTCCGGAATGCCAACTAGCGCGCCCCTTCGTTGAAGGGGGTCTTTTGTATTACGAAGAGACTTCGGGGCACTAACGACTCGTCAACGTCGCCGCCACGTCTTCTCTGCACCTGCAGCGAGCGGGGAACGTATGTGCTTGGGGAAAATGACCGCGATGGGGGTGCGTACGCCTCGACGAGATTTTGACTCGGTGGACGTTGAACCAGCGAGAAGCGCGGTTCAACGTACTGAGACGGCTGACAAACCAGGCACCCTCATCGTCTGCATATGCTGCGAGACCACCAGCGACACCCCGCCAACTCCCTTACGTGAACCATGAGCTGTACTGGTCTTTATGGAACTTTCTATTGTGTTTTTTTCAACTGTTATTTTATTATCCCCAGCTTTTAAATAATTGCATTGTGTGCGCTGCGTCGCAAGTTGTAACTCAGAAGTGAGAGCCCGAACTCTTTTCATTGTCTGTTTTTATTTCCATCATGTCTTTATTTTATGAACATTCTCAGTTGTGTTTTCCTTTACCTGTTGTAGTGCTCCTTTAGAGCATAGTTGGCTAGTATCTGTTCTTTTCATCACGCAAATTTGTGTTTTTTCTCTTGGTTAACTTTTATAGCCTTATGCTTTAGTCTTTGTTATGACTAAATGCTTGCTTGTGTTTAGTCATACCTTCGTGTCTGCTCTATGAGTACGTCAGTCGGACCCAAACATCACTACACGTGCAAACCCATATGGGTAGACAAGCCTTCAAATAAATTTGAAATTTACCACTTGGAACTCTTTCAGGCGTCGCAGGCCGAAGCGTCAAGTGGAAGCTTGCGAGTCTGCCGCACACACCAATGTTAGATCGGCGGGGCCTCACCCAAAGTTTGTTACAACAACCTTCATCTACAGATGGAACCTCGGACAGGTAAGCGTTCACTTAGCGTTCTGCATGACACGAGCAGAAATAAATGTAGGAAAGGGCACGCATCTGGTTTGCCACCCCCTGGCTACGCCACTGCTGATTACAAAGACGACTGACAGGCATAGCTGCTAAAGCAGGTTGGTCTAAAGCGAGTCATTACGATGCGCTAAAGATGAGACCATTTCTCTAAACGACTCCACATCAAGTGATAAGATGCGTAAAGGCGTAATATTCAAAGGTTACACTTTGCTTAAGTTGGTTGGGTTTTTGCAAAAAGAGATTGCGTATCTCGATCTTTTTTTTGAACTACATTTGTATTCATTTTCAGCTCGTTCAACAAAAGACAAGAGTTTTGCTGACGTTGTATCGCAGTGGTTGTTCCTGAACCCTTGTACGCATGTCCGATTACCCCCCCCCCCCCCCTTTTTTTTAACCTATATATGTACACCACTCCGATATGAAATTTTTGTTAAAAGCCAGCGCTCTTTTCTGTGCTTCTTTTTTCGCTTCCGTAGTTACGAAGTAACTATTGCTAGGTTGCGCTGTTCCCACATTCAGAATTCCAGGCCGCATGCTGTGCTACATTATTTGGCTTGCGTTTTGTCAGGCGCCTCTACTACCGGTCGGCAGCGTTTTCTCACCATGCTCAAAAAGTGTTGCAGGGCCCCTTCAAGGCGACGACAAAGTCGGTGAAGGCGAATGCCTGACGGCAAGTACAGCAAGGGTATTCTGTCTCGGCGTTAGAAATGCAATAGCATTTCCTCGCCATTCCTTTCGGGGAGGTGGGCGCATTTTCTTTATATATGATTGCTATGAGCGACACCAACGCACGCGGTAAGATCGCCAGCTGGGGTGTCTTGAGCGTTGACAAAATTCGCACATACTTGTATTACAAATGCATCGAATGAGACGGTCGCTTAGAAACGACGCTTTGAAGAAACTAATCATGGATGCCTAGGTCACGATGCATTAGTGCACTTTTGCAAGAACGCTAACAGAACTGTGGTTGTTCAAAAGGCGTAATTTTTAAGGGTACAAAGTATGTTTTCCACCGAATGATCACAAACTTCAGTGAAGACTGTGAACTTAGAGACCCAGTACCTGAGTGGCTCAGACAACTTAAGCCCCTTATCCACATAAAGAAATTCTGATGACTATGCAAACCATGCTGCTTTATCTTCTTTCTTGCTAGGAAGCGCAGCCACTATAACAAAAAACACACAACACAACCGCTTACATGCTGCTTGTTTCCTCTTTATGCACTGTTTATGCACTGTATTATTACTGTACGATGTGCAAAAGAAAGCAATAAAGAAAAAAGACAGTGGTGCAGTAGATAATGCGCCGGCATTTGTTGATGCGGACCCAGACGTCACGAGTTCGACGCTGATGACAGGAATTTTTGTCTTTTTATGTGCTTACATTTTTCGACATCACTTCCATGAAGGAAATACGTCATTGAAGTCTTGGTGGGCCCCGGCATAAAACACTTTCGTGTTATGGATCAGAACCAAGTCACCCAAGTGTCAGTATTTTTGTTCGACCATAGTTATCGCGTTAAAATATTAGTCTTTATCATGCTATATATTTCGACCTCTCAACGCTCATTTGTGTGTATGGCATAACAATGTCAAAAAACTACCATGGGAACAAGGGCTTTCCTGTATTTACACAAGTGAAGTATGCGCACTCAAATGTGAGGTGATGGCAGCGAAAGCTGTAGATGCTTCTCCAAACGCGTAACATTTGCTGTCGGCTTTTCCTGTCGGCAGCGTTGCGGAAGACATGTGTAGTGCAAAAATACCATCATCACGTGACGACGTCTACATATGACGTCATAAATCGTCATAATTAGTGGCGTCATTAGGACGTGAATGTGACGTCACAATGACTTAACAGCACTTGACGACAATTTCCTGACATCGCAGCATGGTCAAAGGCACTCATATCACGGAGGCAGTGCAAGACAGTGTGCAATGTTTCCACTTCGACAAAAGAACAAATGCGACTGCTTCGGCGTGCTTGTGAGACATGATCGAAGCTGAAAGCTAACAAGGCAAGCACGGAGAAAAGGCTTGAGTGCTGTGTTGTAAGAACCGCAAAGAAATTGGGGTCCTCAAAATTTCGCTTCCTTTTATCGAGTGCTGCGTGGTGACCTTTATGCCAAGTTTATTTTTGCACAATTATCGTACGCCTCACTCAATGCTTATCGTTCATCCATGTATCAGATATCCTTCTCCGGCGTCTCTTGGGTGAGAAGTAGGGTATCTAGTACCAACGTGCCTTTAAAACACAGCTGACATTAGCATAGAAAAATCTACGAATCAAAGACACTTACACGAGAAGAGACCATTTCACTACCCACACTCAGCGTGTACAGTGGTCGTCAGAACTTCTCATCTCATGTACGCGTCTTTCAAGGATGGATTCGTCGATTTTACCAGCTCTTATACCAACCGCTCTAACACCACACTCTTCTATGATATTAGCAGTTGGAGATACGTGCAGGCAAGAGGATAGCGGAAATAACCCACCCCTCTGAGGTGTTTAGTGATGATTTCGCCGAGCTCCTGCGGAACGGACGGCCGCTCTCCGCAGCCCTGGTGCGGCGCGTCCGACTGCGGCATCGGCTCGGCTTCTTCGAGCAGCTCGGCTTCGAGCCGCGGAGGCTGCAACGCCGCGGACGGGCCTCTCCGGAACTCCTCGTCTTCGTGGTCCTCGAAGATGTACGAATACCGGTGCGGCACGACGCTTCGAAGCTTCAGGTCCTTGTAAGTCTCCACTATCAGGGACGCCGCGTCTTGAATGAGGGCCTCTTCTAGCTGCGTAGCAGTCGACACAAACGTATTCCAGTAATCTTTACGAGAAAGGCTCTATCCTCAACTGATGGCACCCTAAACCACTAATATTGTGACCGCTGCTAATTAAACGACGTGCACACCACAATCTATGCTAAATGAAACACGGGGTAAATGCTTGTGGTAAATGTAGCCGATGCATATTCCGATTCACATTTTTAAAGTAGTTTCAACTCTTACAATAGAGAGAGAGAGAGAGAGTTGATTATTAGAAAGCAGAGAGGTATGCCTGAGCTAGTGTTCTTCCTGTCCCTCTTACCCTGTGCTCGGAAGCGTTGACAGACAAAAAAGCCAAGGAAAGTAAAGGGACTTTTATTTTAGTAATTTTGACATCAATGTCAAGAAGTTAAAGGGGATAGCTTGCCGTCACCACGTACCAAATTTGCAGACTTCTAATAAGACGTCCGATGCTTTATCAATTCAACTACAGTGGGGGTCGGTCATCTTGTGCCCTTTCTCGAGCACATCTATTCGCTTAAACCTTGGAGTGTTAGTCAGCTCCCCTAGTTGGTATGGCGGTCATTCTGGCACTCTTTCTGCAGCAGAGTCGTCGAGTCTTGCCGTGCGTCGTGGATAGAAAATTGTCTTCATAACAAACCGGCTCGCCCGCAATGACCATCCAAGCACTCTGTACAAACAAGACCAGCTGAGACGTCCCCATCAACTCTGCTGTGACCTAGCTTTGCTCGACTCAGCACAAGCGGCGCTAATTTTTCTTGCCGTCTCCTCACGAGCACTGAATGCCTATTCCAAGGTTGCAGGTTTGGTACATGCCAGCGGCAAATTGTCGTTTCGTTGCGTGTAATTTATCACATTTCTGTCATAGTTACTGAACAAATACCCTCTACTTTCCTTAGTTTCGGAATAAAAAACAAGCCTTCATTATATGCCTTCTACGGTTGCAACAATACACAGCGTGGCAAACAGAAAAAGGGGGTGAGCACCGTGATTCTTTTCTCCCGGGGCTCCTGAGAGGGATCCATGGACGACTGCTGCGAAACATCCTCGCTGACCAGCCGCAACGCAGTAATGTTGACTGCCGCAAACTCGGGAACCTTGTCGTACGTCAGCTCGTTAACAACCTGCAATCATGCATGCTACATATAAAACTTGTAGTGATGCTGGAATGCAAATCAAGGACGGCATCAGCTATTGAAAGGTATCGTCATAGTATGTTCTCATCTATCTACGCCTTGGGGCTTATGCTAGAGTTCATGTGTACAACAACACTACAAACAGCTTTGCTTTTCCCATGGTGTTGTCCCATAAATGAGTACTGACACAATTTTGAGACATCATTAAAGGAAAATTTTTTATGTAGATCATTTCTTAACAGCCAGTACTTTGAGTATTTCTATCAACGTTTTTATCTAGACGAGCGTGTGCTGGTTCACTTGGCGTGGCGCATATTCAATAGTTATCTAGCTAAAGGTCCATCTTTTCACCAGCAGACACATGCAAATTGTTGGGCTCATGACAGTCAGTGCAAAAAAAGGACACGAAATAGAAGTACACGATCAGGATGTTGTAGGTCACCGGCGGATCTAGCCTTTAGAAATTTGCCGACGATTTCCCCATTTGGATTCTCTTTTCTGATCGTATTGAACATCTGTCCTTTTTAAAGCGAAGCGCGAGTATGCTTTTAGGCATGCGCAGAGCGATCCATTCGTGCTTAAGCCGATGACCTGTGAGCAAGCACTTGCGTCAGGTGCACATGTACTTCATGTTCATGCGGCGACCGTCATGAGTATGTTTGAGTATGTTCGAAATAGCCCGATTCGCTACAATTGTTGGACCCCATTGTATTCATATCATGGAGCTTCTTCGAACATAACATAGAAAAACGTTCAAGCAGGCTCATTTGTAAGTGCTACTGTGTTTGTTAATCCCTCGCATTCAATAACCTCATTAGTGTCGCAGTGTGTTAAATTATATAAATAAATTAATTAAATAAATATGGTGGTCATACGAAGTGAAAATAATGCATGCATTTCAGTGCGCGTGATCAGCATAAGTATTTTTTTCATTCTTTGATCGGTGTCTATGCTCTCTCAATAGTTTCGGTTTCACTTCAGTTCAGTTTATTTACCATAAGGGCCTCCCAAAGGAGATATTACATACATTACAATGGGTAGTCTAGCAACATTGGATGTGCTGTTGTTGTCCTACATATACAGGTGTTCTAAAACAAAGCGTCAAACACTTTGTTGTGGTATAAAAGCGTGTCCGCTTCCTTCTTCGTGGCTGGCCACGATACCACTTTGGCGACGAGTTTAATGAAGGTGCTAGTTCGCCTGTAGCCACGCCGCCTCGTCATAAGCTTCTCCGGCCTCACCCCACCGCCACAGTTTTTTCCCGCGCAGGGCCGCCACATGTTTCGTGGCCACGATGGTTTCGTATGTTTTAAACCTCTCTTTTGGCCTCCGGGGCACCTGACTTCATGCCCGAAAGGCGCAAAGCCCCCCTGCTGCACAGTCTGGGAATCGAAGGTCAGCGTATTTTCTTCACACTGCCACCCCGCGTCTTCAGAACCACCCCCTCGAGTTCTAACGCGACTGATACCCATGAGGTCAAGAAGTAGGCCGCTGTCCCATCATCATACGACCAAGCTGTCACCGCGTTGACACAGCATTTTGCCGTGACAGGCAATGTAGTCGTGGAACGCCATCGCTTCCGCCGCCGCACCCAGCTGCCAGACGAGTACGTACAGGAGTACGTCGCCACGAACGACTCTTTCCGTGACCAGTTCGTACAAAAAACCTCGTTAGAAAAACATGGTGAGCGTCTACTTTTAGAGGGGTCATCGATCTTCATTTCACGTGCCGTACTCCTGGCACAGCAACTCGAGCAGGCTGCTCAGCAAGTTCGTGAGCTTGTTCCTGGTTGTGTTCAGCAGGTGATTTCGCGAGGTGGTCGTTTTTCAAGAGGCTCAACGCGGCCAGAGGTCTTCCCATTGGTTATCGTAACCCAGTCAAGCCCCCGTCAACAGTTGCACGATGACTTGGTCTCCCCTGAACGCTTCAGCGGCTCTAGCAATGCATCCTCGTTGTGCTATCGTTGTGGTTCCCGCCAACACCATGCTTCGTCGTCCTCCTGTCCCACAAAAAAGTCAGTGCTGTTTTCACTGTGGTCGCATTGAGCACTGCCGCTCAGTTTTCAACAGGCGACAACGTCATTCCGCTGCTTCCGTTCGAGAAGTCGACGGCCAGGACTTGTATAGTGATGCTGAAGGGTTAAACGCCATTTCCGTGGCTGTTCTTGCACGATCCAGCATTTTCGTCGACGTTTTCATCACTGGCAAGTCTTTGAAATGAAATTTCTTGCTGACTCGGGATCGTCTGTTTCTATCATGAAGGGGAGTATTTTCAAGCAAAATTTTAATAACGAGCCGCTTCTGTCTGCCCCGCGAGTGAAGCTGCTCGATCACTCCAAGCGCTGCATTACCATACGTGGTTGTTTATTCACGGAAGTCACGTTCAAAGGACACTCAGCCTATTACCTGTTCTACGTCGTGGTGCAAAACACCTCCATCCTCAGAATGAATGCGATCAAAGTGTTGGACTTGCCCATTAAAGGTGCGTCCCTACAATGCTTCGAAACGTCGGCCATGCTAGCGGCAATCAATGATACTCAGCTCTCAGGTTTGTGTACTGTGTCGCCAACCAACCCCCTTCCGAAGACCTTGTCCAGCGTGTTCAGCTCTCTCTTCGGCTCAGGCCTCGGAATTTCAAAGGGCTTTTTTCATCGCATCAAGACCCTCATCGAGGTGCTTCCTGTGACATAGAAACTTCGGCGTCTTCCACTAACACTCCAACCTGAAGTTTCAAAAGAGTTCCGTAGATTGCAAAAACTGGATGTCATCGAACGCATTATTGCCACTAAGTGGGTGTCCCCTACAGTTGTAGTAAGCAAGAAGGACGGTTGCATTGGACTCTGTGTTGGCCTTCGGGAACCTAGCAAAGCTGTCATCGCTGATAGCTTTCCATTCCTCACACAGAAGAGCTCCTGAACAGCCTCATGCGTGCAAGATACTGCTCTAATTTGGATCTTGCGTCCGCGTACCACCAAGTTCTACTGCACCCTGAGAGCCGAGATTAGACTGCATTCGTGACTCGCGACGACCTGTTTCGTTTCAAGCGCATATGCTTTGTGCTGGCGTCTGTCCCAGCAGCCTTCCAGCAGCTCATGTCACAGATCTTCAAGAGATCTTCTGGCGTTTTGTTTTACATCGACAACATTATTGTGTTCGGCTGCACCGAAAAAGAGCACTTGATGAATTTAGCAGCAGTTCTCCACCGCATCAAGGCCGCTGGGCTCAAGCTGAACCTTAAGCGCACTTTTTGTGTCAAAGAATTATCTTTCTTTGGACACAGGGTCACAGCACAAGGCATTTCACTACCACTGCCTGATAAAGTAGATTCAATACTGCACACCTACGCTTCTACGGACGCTGCTAATTTGCGTTCGTTTCTCGGCTAAGTCGAGTACTACGCCAAATTTGTTCCCTGCCTCGCGGAAGTTGTGGATCGAATACGTGCTCTGCTCCGCAAGAATGAACTTCATGTGGAGATATGCCGTTCACACTAATTTCCGGAAGGCCAAGTTCTTGTTGTCATCCAGCAGAGTACTGCAGATGTTTGATCCTGCTCTTCCAGTGGTTGTCCGTACGGATGAATATGACAGCGGCCTTGGGGCTGTTCTTCAACAAGTAGATGGGCACCAGCCATGCACAGTTGCATTTGCATCGCGCACTCTTTCTTCAACAGAAAGGAAGTATGAAGTTGGTGAAAGGGAAGAACTTGCCTGCATCTGCGCCTGTGAGCGTTGGCACACATACTTTTGGGGACGGAAGTTCACACTTTGAACAGACCACCAAGCCTTGGTTTCCCTTCTGTCGTCTCAAGGCTCAGGAGGAAGACGTCCTCTCACCGTTGCGCGCTGGTCAGAACAACTTATGCGCTATAATTACCGGAGGGGCTCAGAAAATCAAGTAGCGAATGCCCTGTCCCGCCTTCCAATGCCTATTTCGCAGAAAATTTCCTGTCTACCAAGAGGTGGTGTCTCTCATCGCCCCACTCTGCCTCACCACAGAGCAGTTCTAGCAGTTCCTGCTTGAAAATGCTACCTTGGAACAAGTAAAGGCTTACGTCTCATCATCTCGGCCACCCCATGAGTTCGTCTCGCGTGAACTACAGCCCTTTTTCGGCTAAGCGTGAAGAATTTTCCCTGGTCGACAACTTGCTTTTCCGTGCCCCGCCGCGGTGGTCTAGTGGCTAAGGTACTCGGCTGCTGACCCACAGGTCGCGAGATCGAATGCCGGCTCTGGCGGCTACATTTACGATGGAGGCGCAAATGTTGTAGGCCCGTGTACTCAGATTTTAGTGCACGTTAAAGAACCCCAGGGGGTCGAAATTTCCGAAGCCCTCCACTACGGCGTCTCTCATAATCATATATGGTTTTGGGACGTTAAACCCCACATATCAATCAACTTGTTTTGCGTGGGGAACGCCTCGTAGTCCCTTCATCCCTTACCCCGCAGGTTAGACTGCGAGAGCAACTTTGGTGGCCTCAAATGGAGAGACAAGTGGAGCTTGCTAAACACCATTAATTGCGTAGTTTGCCAGAATGCAGACAAGAGTGACGAGACTGCAACAACTCCGCGGCACCCTGTCCCCCTTCGAGAGCAGCCATGGCAGAAGGTCGCAATCGATATCGTTGGTCCTATGGAAAGAGCCCCACACGATTGCCGGTGCCCAATCAACCAGCCCAATCAAGCACTTTGTTAAAGTTTGAGTTCAGTCCATTTCGTGTTTCTCCGACTGCGCAAGCGAAAATTACAGCGTGTAGGCGACAAGCGCAAAATCTTGATAGGATCAATGCTTAGTGCCGACACGTGTTTTTCAAGAAATAAGTGGCCAGGAGAAGATACCGCCTATGGAAACGAAAGTGAAGGCGAGAAGAAAACCACCCCCTCGTCTTTGGAGGCGAAGTAGTTAGCTCTTTAGCATAACTACGTCGATCAAAGAAAGATACCTCGAAATGACAAAGGGAATGAAATTTTCATCCAGGAATCTGAACAGTCGATGCGGGGACAAACGCTGACACAGTGCGGCCCATCGCTGTACAGCAAAGCGTAGATGTTACTGAATCTAGGGGTTCGTGTTCACCTCACATTACTCGTGTTCATCTCGTGTTCACAAACAAAGAAGGCAAAGAACGGCAAAGCAGCAGGGATGAGGACATACAAGAGCAAGCAATCAGCCATAGCGCATTTGTCAAAACAAGTTCATTTCACGCCACTCTTAAGCAGTTAGAGCACTGGTTTTCAAACGAGGTTCCTCGAAATGTACACTCGAAAAGAAAAAAAAAATGACAGCATATGCACGGGGGGAATAATGGAGATTTTGGCGAAGCTGAGTCCGCACGCCACTGCCGTGCCACTTTTGCCACCCGTTTTAAATGCGAAGCATTTCTTTGCAAACTTCAGCGACTTTGCCCGTATCTATCTATCTATCTATCTATCTATCTATCTATCTATCTATCTATCTATCTATCTATCTATCTATCTATCTATCTATCTATCTATCTATCTGTCTGTCTGTCTGTCTGTCTGTCTGTCTGTCTGTCTGTCTGTCTGTCTGTCTGTCTGTCTGTCTGTCTGTCTGTCTGTCTGTCTGTCTGTCTGTCTGTCTGTCTGTCTGTCTGTCTGTCTAGCCGCGTACGACCTTTGGCTCTCCTGGGTGTTTCGATAATGGTATCGATACCAAACTTCGTACGGCATAACATGGCTGTACGAAGAACCTATTTAACTACTCGGATTATGAAAATCATGACATGAAATGTCATGAATTTCATGATTTACATTTCACGGTCCTGCAGCTCTTGCAGTGGTTTCGTTCACATGGCATGTTGCGAAACCAGTATGGTAGGACGTGATTTAATGGCGAACACAAGCTACAGTCCCTTACATGAAAATTATGACATGTGTGTCATGTCACAACATGACTACATGCCATGCTCATGATGCGCTCATGGCCATTTCCCTATCGTTACATATACCGAATTTGGTAGTATGGTACGTGACTGAATAACAGAGGTTTGTGACTGTTCCAAACTTGATAAACATGAGGTGCTTGTCATGTAACAACAAGACTACATGCTACGCTCATGATGCACTCGCGGCCGTTTCGCTAGATTCACAAGTATCAAACTCGGTATTACGCGATGCGAACAGATGACATAGGTAAATGACACATCCAAACATGATAATCACGACATGCGTGTCGTATAAAAACATGACTACATGCCACACTGATAGTGCGCTAGCAGCCGTTTGGCAAGCTTCCCATATGCCAAATTTGGAATTACGTGACGTCAATAGATGACGAAGGTATGTGACTGGTGCAAACAAGATAATGATCAGATGTGTCTCATGTCAGAACGTGACTACATGCCACAATCAAGACGCCAATACATTTCGAAGTGACGCATGCAGTGCGCGTGCTCGCCTGCATTAATTTCGTCGCGTAATGCTGGTGTTGCCACGCCATGCGCTGGTCCTGCCAAATACTCGCAGGCGCGCGCTGCCCTTCGTTGCTTTCACGCATGCGCGTTTCAACGCGTCCGGCATCCCTCCATCACGAAAAGAGTGAGACGCAGTGTTGTTTAGGTAACGCATTCGCGCGAAATGCACATGTTGGGCATGAAATTCAGCATGTCGCAGGTCGCGCCGGTTGCCGTCGGGCCATGCCGATGGACGCTGGTCGTGCCTGGCGTCAGACTGCGGAGTGCTCGCGTTTTGTTAACGTAGCGTCACTGTGGCCAGCGTGCGCGCGCGTCAACGCTACATTGGAGTATATTGGGCCCTATATGATGCGCTCGCGGCCGTTTTGCTAGCTCCGAATTTGGTGTTACGTGCCGTCAATCAATGACGAAATATAGGACTGGTGCAAACATGATAATCCTGACACGCGTGTCATGTGACAACATGACAACATACCACGCTCATAGCGTGTTCGTGGCCGTTTCTCTAGCTCCACATAAACTAAGTTTGGTATCACGTGACGTGAATAGACGACAAAGGTTAACTACACATACAGACATGGTAATCGTGACACGGAAGTCATGTACGACATCATTTACCTCCACCTCGTAACGTTGTGCTGATTTTAAAGTGACATATGAACATTACCGAATCATGCTTCGCATATCATCGATTCCCACTGTACGTGAGATCTGCCAATTTTAGGGGCGAAGCTCCTTAGGGCGTGGGCTGTGCGTCCCCTGTAGCCTGTATGTAGCCACCTTTAGTTTAGTTCTTGCAGTGTTCACTAGATGGCGGTACCGTCCCCTGTATGTAGCCACCTCTAGTTTAGTTCTTGCAGTGTTCACTAGATGGCGGTACCGTCTCCTGTATGTAGCCACCTCTCGTTTAGTTCTTGTAGTGTTTACTAGATGGTGGTACTTGTAGCTGATGATGAAAAGATGCAAGATGTTATAAACTAGAAAGCGGTACTTGTAGTTGATGAAAGACGCGAGATCTTATAAAATAGGAATGATGTCACATATGGCGCGTGTCATTGGTTGAAGGCAATCGTTCGATTTAGTGCGGCGACGTACGCTAGGGGGAGCGATGTAATAAAATCGAGTGGGCAAAATGTACAGAGGATTCATGGTTTACCAGGTTTACCTCCGGAGCTTCGCCCACTCATCATCATTCACTTCGTGGATATGGCGGATTTTTTTTTTTTTTTGTACGCCGAGATCTTGAAGGCGCAGCCACGCAACTTCACGACACGCTTCTGCCTCGCGGGCTCGCACATCGGGGGTTCCTTGTTCTGCCGCGAGCCGCCGCCGCCTTGCGCGCGCGGCGCTCTGCAGCTTTGTCCAACCGCTGACATTCTGAAAATCTGAACGCGCGCGTGCACCACAACGGCTTTTACGTTACTACACCACGCCCGCTAGCGTACGGCGCCACCAACAAACACGCGATCGTCAATGTCTTCGTATGGCGTCATTCCTATTTTCTCGCGCGCCCGCACATCGGGGTTCCGTCTTCGATCGCAAGCCGCCGCCTCCTTGCGCTCATCATTATTTTTATCGGCAAACCGTGAGTCATCAGCTGGCCGCATCCTTCCGTCGTCTGTCTGTCTGATGCACGGGCGAAAGTACGCATGGATGAACGGACAGACGCACGAATGGACGCACGGAAGGACAGGCGCATGGACGAACGCAGGGACGGACGTAAGGATTGATTGATTGATATGTGGGGTTTAACGTCCCAAAACCACTATATGATTATGAGAGATGCCGTAGTGGAGGGCTCCGGAAATTTAGACCACCTGGGGTTCTTTAACGTGCACCCAAATCTGAGCACACGGGCCTACAGCATTTCCGCCTCCATCGGAAATGCAGCCGCCGAAGCCGGGATTCGAACCCGCACCCTGTGGGTCAGCAGCCGAGTACCCTAGCCACTACACCACCGCGGTGGGGTGACCGACGTAAGGACGTACGCAGAGATGGACACATGGGAGGACGGACGCATGGACGGATGCACGAATAGGTGGACGCACGAATGGACGGAAACAAGAACGGACGGACGGAAGCGCGGACGGCCTGACGGACGCTTCGCCCCACTCATCATCATTTACTCCATGGATATGCTGTCATTTTATTTTTATCATACTATTTATCGTACCATTTGCATTTTTCAGTGCATATGCATTTCGTTATATGTACAAGTACCACGCTCTACGGCCAGTTCAAGAACTAACGTGAGGTGGCTACATATGATTACGATGGAACGCTCAGCCCACGCCTTAAGGAGCGTCGCTCCTAAAAGAAAGAAGTAGGGTTTTCTTTTTTTTCTTGAAACATAGAATCTGCTTTTAGTTTTTCATGTGCTTTGCAGTATAAAACCTAGGAAGTGCGCTGCTACATGGTCGGCGTCCTTAGTCCGGGACACCGCATGACGAGGCCCCTACTCGCGCCCGTCTCACCAGAGCCCGTTGAGACTCTAGTGATGAGCAGTTGAGGAGGGCAGTCTCCCATGCCTCTCGGGAAGGGGTAGGGGAAGGGGGTAGGTGGGGGGGGGGGAAGTGCGGAGGAGCTCAATGATGTTTTCTTCGTTATAGGATGGCTGTAGTGCTTTTGTCGCTGTATTCTTTCACATATGCATGCAAGCGTGCTTCCTAGAGGTTGTCACGCTTTTTTTTTTTCTAGCAAAAATAGCTAGAAACAGTTTGAGTGAGGTTGCAGCTAGAAACAAGTTGCGTGTGGTTACAGGCCACACAATATGACACGCTTTTAAAATCAGTTTGTAGTGGCATTTTAGCATGGCTATTCCTTGTTATAGGGAGAAACAGAAGGAAATCACTTGGCAATCGATGTCGTTCTTATTTATGACACCCGCCCCCCCCCCCCCCCACCATGCCCACACTTTCTCATTTCAAGGGGCGGTTCACATCATTTCCACAAGGGCGCTTCACAATATCCATGAGTAGTAACCATGGCGTTAGAGCACTGGCAGCTCCCACATTCCACGCGTAACCACGAAAGATATACGGACGATGCTGTACAGAAAGTCGTGCGTACCGGATTGATGAGGAAGAAGTGGTAGTTTCGTCGTCCCCATGTAAATGTCGCGCACGTGGTCCACGATGATTCTCCGCGCCATGTCGAAGTGGCAGTCGAGCAGCACGTGTTTGCGGCTCTCCCGGTCCGTGGTCTCCAGCATGCGGAGGAAATCGTTGGCGTCGCTGCTGTTCCTGACACGCTTGACGAAGCGCACCGTCACCGCCTCTCGGTACGTGTGGCTCAGCAGGCGCTGCAGTTTAGAGGGCCCTGCGTGCGAACAGCTCTGCTTGCAAGTGGCGCCTACATTCAGTTCACGAACGCTCAGCTATTTGTTTTAGATGGTATATTGAGCTACCTTGCCGATATACATCTTCACGCTAGAGGTATTTTCCTTTCTATCACTGTGGTTGTTCGAGCTCGCGCATTTCAAATTGACACTTGTGGGGAACTCCGATAAGCCCTCACTTAGAGCGGATGTGAGAAGCAGCTACGTGTGCTTCACTGCGAACGTGCCATCAAGTGCGATTTTTTTCCGTAAGCGAGAACAGCAAACAGCCCGAAACGAGTTGCCGGTGAACTTTCGTGAGATGTGTGCGGCTGTACGGTCCACCGCAGCAAACGTTAGCGGCACAGATGCGGACACTCAAAACGTTTTTACGATGTCCTGCTGTTTCACCTTAATATTTTTTTAAACTCTCTTCATATCACAATTCTTAAGTTACACAAAAAAGTGTTTTTCGGTAGTAATTTGCAGTTGCTTGATCCTTCTTAATATATTCATTAAGCTTTCACTCCCACGTTTACTTGATACGCAGTAGAAATGTCTGGTATTTTAGTCTTCACCACTGTCTGGCTGAGCGACCGGAGCTTTGTGAAGCCCATGAACTGTCCCTTTTTCTTTACTTCTCCCTGTTTGACTTACGCATAAAATTTTTAAAATAAAAGATTGATTGATTAACTGATCGACTGATTTGTGGAAGCCGTGAGCAGGAAATGTCAATGGCAGCTGCACCACCGGTATTACTGTCTTTTTGTGCCGTAATATAAACACCAACTGAACCAGATTGCTGAGGAACTCTTACCATTGTGTCCCACAATTTGCGCACTCCTCCATTTTTTAAAACACTAAGCGCCACTCGGAATAGTAATCGAGTGACATCTCAGAAGATGAACAATGTCAGTGTTCTTCATGTCATTTTGTTTCACCCTATACTGTTGTTGCATAACCGTGAATAGCTAACCAGCGCGCGATAAGTCCCGACAAAGCAGCGACGTGATACCGCGGCAGACCTATCGCGTGCAATGCACACGCATTGTGACATAGTCTTTTCATACACCACCTCCGAAGAGCTGTCTGTAAATGCTCCACGTAGATTCAATGGTATTTCAAGGCACTCGATGTTATATTGCCACAAAAAGAATGTCGGGACACGTTAATTAATGTGCGTTACGGCGATCATTACTATTTACTTTGTAATTAAATATTGAGTCCTTCTCAAGCGTTACTCTTTTTGACTAAATCAAGTGAACTTTCAGGGTAGAAGTACAGAGCAAATTCATTTTTGGTTACGTGCCAGTTGAGCAAACAATATATATATATATGCTTTGGAGATTGGGGTGATCACGTCGAATATGGTGGTGTCTTCGGCAAAGAGATCATACGCAACGGTACGCTGCTAAATGAATGAAAACGAACGTGTTACGCGGGATTGATCGAAAGCTCAGCGAATCTTGCTCTTTCCTGTAGTCGATACACACTGCCTAAGCAAGCGATGTACATATTTGGACGAATTGCGTGTCGAAGCACTACGCACCGTTCTCTGAGTCGTAGACATAGACGAAGGACGGCCAGCGCATGTGGTCGACCATCTCGGCGACGGCCGGCAGGTAATCGGGGAGCAGCGAGACCCCCAGGGAGTCGGCCGACGGCAGGTTCAGGTTGCCGCCCACGTTCACGCTGCAGTGTTCCTGGTACGACGTGGCCACGTACGGCACGTTGGTGTTCTTGAACAACGACTGCAGCGCGAGTGACGAGTGCGACATGCTCGACACCACCACCGTCGTCACGTTGGTGCGCAACTGCTCGCACACTGTGTCACAGAAAAAAAATGGAGTGCCATAGCGTCAATGGAGCTGTCAAGAAAAGAATTACACTTTTTGATTGCGATAGGAAGGGTCGCCTGAGGAGAAGGCATGACCAGGTAATATTGTAAGTATTTCTTTGTTGTACTCGCCCGTCAGCTTTGGGTGCACAGCTTTCGCATGTAGCATGGATGTTATTAAAATCTTATCTCGTGCCTATTCTCTACGTACGTTACTTACAGTTTCCTATATTTTGAATTGTACAGCTTAATAAACAAATAATTTGTTTAAAGTTAAGGCTGTGTCCACGTCGTAGCTTTGGGCTTATCTGTACGCCGTAGCTATTAAAGTGGTCTTACGTGTACCTATTTCAGCAAGAAAGTGCCGCATACCACGTGTGCCAGAGAAATTCGCGAGACATATTGCGGCCAGATAGAGTACTTTCCTTCATTTCTAAAAGCAAAATTTCGAACAAAATGCGTTTTACATGTAAAATTATTCTGCTGTGCCACAAATTATAGAGGAATAATGAATGGAGAGTGAGTCGCTTTTTTTTTCGCTCTCGAGAGCCCGTACAGAAACCTACCCTAAAAGCTTGTCTAATGTCAACATCACATGATTAGAAAAATATAGTACGGCATTTTTATAGTCCAGTTCAGACACTGCAGGTGGCCCCGTGCCACCCAGCTAGTCTGACGTGGGGACCAGCCAGCCTAGTCTAGCGGCAGTGTCGCGCGCCTACTGGACGGCCAGGATTTGGTTCAGAAAGCTTGGACTGCGAAGGAGAGCATCCCACTTAGCCTTGCTGTAAATCGGGTCGACCAACCCGCACTCGTAAAGCATGTGGCTGGTGTAACGGTCTGCCCACAAGCGGATGACTTCATTCTTGATTGTGTTCCCTCGGGGCCCAATCTCTGCTGACTGACAATTTTCTTTTCACAGCTTGCTTCAGTTAGCAGTGAATGGCAATCGCGAAATTAAACTTTGAGTCACGTGACAACTGTAAAAAGTATTTCTAATTCGGAAGAGCAAATCAACTGAAAAAAAAATCAGCGAAGAAGAACAGCCAGGAAGGCCTTATTACTGACGAACATGCACAAGTACAACAGAGAAGGAGACATCACAGGTCCTTGTGCGCGTTCACCAGTAATACGAAATCATTCAGTCATTACTGACTACCCCAAATGTTTGCCTTGACAAGCCAGACAGGAGAAGTGCTGGTCGTACAACTAAGTGCTTACGGAAGAAAGCCTCATAAACATACAAACATGAACCAGCAGCGACAGCTTAGGGTATCTGACCCATATAAAAGTTGGACACATAACAGTACAAAATTGTGTACTACTGGTTGTTTGTTAGTGTTAGGTGCATCACGCCCTTTAACTACTTCACTAGACAAAGTTGAGGTTCCAAAATTAAGCATTGTTTAAAAAAACACCTGTTGCCTCAGACCACTCCGATTGGGACCACGTTCTGCCTTTTGTGATGTACGCATATAACACTGCTCCACAGGCAATTGCGGGTTTTTCGCCATTTTTCCTATTATATGGCCGAGACCCTTCCACCACACTAGATACCATTCTACCCTACCACCCAGATTCCTCTGAGTCTACGCCTATCTCTGAAGCTGGCCACCACGCCTAGGAATGCCGTAAGCTCGCCCAGTCGTTTACAACCACCGGCCAATGGAGACGAAAATCTCGACGTGACGATAATCAGCCGTACCCTAACTTTGTTCCGGACACTCTTGTGTGTCTTTGGGTTCCCGCTGTGCCTACATGCCTTTCCTCAAAGCTTGTTTCAAAATACCAGGGACCCTACCGCGTTGTCTCGCAGACTTCACCTGCTAACTAGATCGTCGAACCCTTTACGCCATCCACAGACCAGCGCTTTCGGGGTCGTGAAACCGTTCACGTACAGCAGTTGGAGCCTTTTTACGATCCGCTCGTACTCAGTTCTCCGTGAATCGCCAGGATGGCTCCTTTTCCGACGGGGGACGAAGTGTAGTGAAGAGAATGCCCATTACTGCAGCGACATCGACACGTTGGCGCGAGGCGCGAGCTAAGACTGCCTGGTTGCTGCTGCGACGCTGCCCGTATACCCGGCCAGCTCTTGCTGCCTCTGTATTGACGCTGATACCGCTTTTGACCTTGCATTTACATTATACACCTCATATATCGGCACCTATGGCATTTTGGGGTGCCTAAACAGAGCACTTATTAAGAGGCTGCCTCGGTCATGGTTGAGAAGTTCAGCAAACCGAAAGCGAACGAAAGTACCCAGGGAGCACATGAGCGCTTCTTTGTTCATCTATTTCGCACGCTCCCATTTCGCTGAACGCATATAAATTACCAACTAGACTAACCATCCGTCCGCATCTAAAATGAGTTATTTGTTAATGTGCCAGTACTGCCAATGCGTGTAGCCCTGTAACGCCACATCACCATCATATCTTGCAAATAAACTATCACTCACCATTCACTCACCAAAATAATTTATGCCGTTTAGAGGCCGCTGCGGGTCCCTTTTTCACAAACAAGCGAAAGACGTTCGGCCATGCCTTCATATGCGCAGTAGATGGCGCAATGATCTCGTGTAAGCATCAGGTAGATTTTCCACGTGTCTGATAAAGTATGGCATGTCGACTGAATAATAATGATTACAAAATGAGGCAGCATTAAAGTGATTTTCTTACGTTTTGATGGCAGTCATAGAATTACAACCAATGCTGTGTCCTGCGTTAAAATTATGTTCAGCTAGTGAGTTGGTGGTAATATGTTTCTTAGCCACGTCATTTTGGTGCTGCTTGATGCGTCATTTGAAGTTTCCCATTTATTTATGTAGAATTCGTGGTAATGTTGAGGGCGTATCTTATATACCACTCCAGGATAGCGTTCCCATTCCAATGGGCCTTTAACGTGGACCAGCTGGCTTCTTAACTTGTTCGAGGGTACGTGTGGTACTTGTACGTCATAGCTTCCTAAAACTTCTTGAGAGGGTTGCGCTTACACCGGAAGAGTAAGGAATAGGCTAAGTCTTCTTGCGGTCGGTTGTTTTGTTTCTATGAGGATCTCTGGTGTGGCGTTCCTGTTAACGTAGTAGTTGGCGAGAGTGAGGTCGTGCTTTACTTTGTTGCATTCCCACCTTCGCGCTGAATCACCAGAGCAAGGCCGGTGCGCACACTTGAAGATGGAAGACGCCACAGAGCGTTTGTGGACAATGGGATGTGCTGAGGCAAAGCTGGGGCACCTGCCCGAACGTGTGGGCTTCCTGCACACCGTTGTCAAACAACCACAGGGACAGCGCTGAACAAAGACGTCGAGGGAGGCAATTTACCCGTTGCTTTCTTCTTCTACGGTGAATTCAAGAACCGTTTATTATAGTTCAGGTGTTCCAAGAACAGTTACGCTTCGGAGTTTTAAATTACGCAGAAGCAGTTGTCTATGTATCGAAAGGAAGTCTTTGGAGGGTGCTCAAAGATAGCTTTACTCTCCAAGGCCAGGTTTTCACATGTCACAGAAATAGAAGAACCCATGGCTGTAACCAAAAAACTCCCAAGCATTTCCGAGAGGGTGAACATGGTTAAGTGCGAATACACGGGGTGATGCTATGAGGGGTATTTATTAATTCCCACTATTACATTTATTATTCACACTATGGTGCCTTTATGGTGTAATGGTTCCTGGGAATCGCAATTTGATCACACGGGGGAGTTTACGTTAACTCACTGGCGAATGCCAACGGATTTTAACTTTACTCCCCCTCACGACCCGCTCTCGACGGGAGACTGAGAGAGAAGGCGGCCGCGCGAGAGAGAGGGGTGCGCGCGCAGCTGCAGCGAGCGAGGAGAGCGGAGGAGCGAGCGAAGGGGGAGGGGGTAAAGGCGCGTTACTGACACCGATATCAGCGTCGCGTCCGTGGCTTATTCGGTAGAGCGTCGCGCTGCGGCCCGCCAAGTCCTCTTTCTTTTAAAGATAGAGAGAAGACTGCGGACGCCGCCGACGGCGGTGGATGGTTTGGGGTCGCTTATAAAGTGTATTCACACTTAGAACATGTCTGTAATAGTTCCCATCAAACGCCAAGTAGGTGTTACTGAGGTAAAAATGCAGAATATTACAAAGATCTGCTGCCTTCAACGGAGCTCTTAAAAGTAGGGACGTATCCTGCTCGACCATTTGCCTGCAATGTTCCACGGTGAAATGAATAGGCACTGACGTGAACCTTCATTTCATGTCAAATAAAACCAATCGATTTTTGTCATCCAAGGAAAAGTCATTCAAAATCTAAACAACTTGGGCCTTATCCTTAATATACGAAGAAGTGTGTCCGATGAGTGGTCACAGCACCTGATGCAAGTAGTACGATAGCTTGTGAAGTGGGGATCGTGTGAAGTCAACAATTGGCCGGAGAGGCGTGTTGGGCTTGTGCATCTTTGGTACACTGTATATTACTGGGGCAGACAACAAAGTAAGGCACGAACTCCCAGACAACGGCTACCCTCGCCAGCTACTACGTCAACAGGAATGCCACGTTAGAGATCCTCCAAGAAACAAAACAACCAACCACAAGAAAACTGAACCCATTGCTTAAGCTTTCTAGGTAAGCGAAACACTCGCAAGATTTTTAGGAGATATGACATACAATTAGCACACGCGCCCTCACAAAAGTTAAGAATGACAACTTCTCTGCGTTAAAGACTCATTGAAACGTGAACGCTAGTTTGTAGTGGTATATAAGATACCCTGTCAAAACTGCCGCGAATCCTATATATGGAAACAGGGAACTTCAAACGACGCATCAAACAGTACGAAGATGGCGTAGCTAAGTGACATATTACCGCCAACGCACTAGCTGAACATCGCTTTAACGCGGGACACAGCATTGATTGGAAATCTGCTGACTGTCTTCGACCCGAAAAAATCACTGTGATCCTGCCTCCTTTTGGAATACTTATTAATTCTGTCAACATCACATACACTTAATCGTACGCATGGAAATCGACTTCATATTTCCACGAAATCACTGCGTCATCTGCTAATGCATATAAAGACAACGTCTTTCGCTTGTATGTGAACAAGAGACCGTTGAGGTCTCGAAACGTGAAAAACTTCTTTTCGTTACAAATTTGGTGAGTGATTGTTTACTTGCAAGAAATATATTCCCGTCGCCTGACGGTGTTCTGTCAAACCCTGGGCTATACCACCATCATAACGACCACTCAATCTCGTCTCCGCAGACATCATTGGGTGAAGGGGAACGAGAGGGCAGTCGTAGTGGCTGGTGCGTTGGCTTTACAAGCAACGACACTGGCCAATTCAACAGACTTCCAAATCACAATGCACTAAATAAATATGACTTTACAATTGTCAGGATTGTCCTTTCTAATCAGCGTTTTACGCAAGTGTAGTAAGCCTCTCACCGCAAATGCTCAACAGGAGAGGAGGCCATCAGCAGACGATGAATTAAAACCAGGTTTATCCCCACTCAAAAAAATTGCATGCCATCTTTCTTATGTACTTCTAAAGATTCCTTCCTTCGGTGCGGAGTATGTACTACATTCAGAGCTGACAGGTGCTACCGAGCTGACGAAGAAATCATCATAACAAATTACAACCAGTAAAAGGTATATTACTTATATTGCACAGCGAAAACATGCGCAACTATGAACGAAAGAACAATGTTGACATTCTCCATTATGTTAAATTTACGTTTGCCAGTGCATGCGTAACTTGTTCATTTCGATATTGTGACTTCAGCACTCAACGACTTCAAGTCGACGGACCGAAGAGGTGGCACCAACACGAACGGTAGAGATTGTTCAGCTCTGATTTGTTCAACCAGGTTAAGTAGTAGCCTAAAGCCAGTGGGGCCCTCGACTCCTCAGTCAGAGAACTTGCTTCAATAGAGTTTTTTTTGACCCACCACGGTGGTCTAGCGGCTAAGGTACTCGGCTTCTGAGCCGCAGGTTGCGGGATCGAATCCCGGCTGTGGTGGCTGCATTTCCGATGGAGGCGGAAATGTTTTAGGCCCGTGTGCTCAGATTTTGGTGCATGTTAAAGAACCCCAGGTGGTCGAAATTTTCGGAGCCCTCCACTACGGCGTCTCTCATAATCATATGGTGGTTTTGGGACGTTGAACCCCACATATCAATTAGTAGAGTATTTTTTGTTCTTCTGTGTTCAAGTTTCCTAAGTAGGCAATTTTTATGCGGTCTTAGCACACTTGGTTTGCTCTCCTCATTGTGCATATAATATCTACCAAAGCATAAGTGAGCTGCCAGGCTCAAATTATATTCGGACAACAGTTTGGAAGCATCCGAGTTTAGTCGAATTTCCACCTGCCTGTTTGTGTGCCCGTGGTGTCACAGATATGTTCAAAGTGTGTTCTAGATGCAGTGATTACAAGACTGTCACAAGGATTTGTTACTCCAAATTGCATTTCTCATAGACAACGATCGAGGGCTAGGCTAACTAGGTGAAGCGGAATGATTCTAGGCTCACGAAAATGTGCTTTCTCTGCTTGCGGACCACTTGAGTAGTGGAAATACTGTCTTGATCCTGCATGTCTAAACAACGCGCATGTCTCAGACTCGGGTCGTAAACACTGTCACACGTAATTACAGAAAACTCTTAAATGACCTAACTGATGCAATGTGTTGCTGGGAGAGTTGGTGCGTTGTCCTAAAATAAGAGCAGAGCTCTCGTCCCGTCTTTTCGTCCCCTGAGCCCATCTTTTCGCGCTCTGCTTTTATTCACTAACTTAAAAAAAAACGCCTGAAATGTTTTTGAGCGCTTGTGTCTGTATTTTATAGCTTGGTAATAACCACTTTAAAAGTAGAAAAATTACCAAACTGCAATTTTGAGAAAGGATGCTATTGTGCACAACGTGGTTCTCTCATGTTTCCAGTTCAATCCTATATCATGAACTAAACCTTTCGTGAGGTTATACGATCTTCACTATATTATTTAAACCTAACCCCTACACAACAAGAAATACACATTTTCCTAGATATATTCCCTTCTTTCCAATACGAATATATTGGTGTTATCTTCAATTCTATTATAAATCATATTGCATGAGATGTGACATGGATTTAATAAAACGAGAGCGCATAGAAGTCAAACGAAACGCGCGTGGGGAAACGGCATGAAAACAATGACTCGGTCGATAAGTCTCCATGGCGACTGCAGGCCAGCTGGAAGCAAGAGCAGGCCCAGAGCGGCTCTTACGTGACTGCTGTTGATGCCCCACCCGCCCGCTGCTGTTGCGCCGCAACCACAGACAACAAAGAAAAAAATGTTAACGACGCCCAGCTGAGCCTCACGTGGCATTGTTGGCAAGCAATGTGAATTTCGTTTCTAACAAATCGGTAGACTGGTTTGGCTCTTTGAAACAACTAGCCTCATGAATACGAAAACAAATCTCTATTTCGGGTTGGTAGCAGTGTTGCCGGTTCCGCTTATAATTAGCAGACTTGGACTTCATTTTTCGTCGTGTCGTTTATAGAGTTTTCCAGTCGCTAGCCGGCTTTTTTTGTGCTTATTTGTATTTTAGAGCAGATACAGTTATATCAGTGATTATCACGTTCTCCAGTAGCGCGTTTGCCGTTCTCTAATCGTGCATTCGTCGATCATTTTGAATAGTTATGTGTCAAACTCAGGGACACGTTGGGGAAATAGCAGGTAACAATAATCGTGCCTTTGCAAACGTGACTTCCGCTCAATTGAGACCACCCCAGAGACAACGTTAAAAGTATCACAGAGCAATATGTTGGGTGAGCTGACTCCTAGCTTTGCCTGTTTCCAGCGTGAGACGAGACCACAGCGAGGTAGGCACACAAGACACACGGAGCACTGTTGTGTCTTGTGTGCCTTTCTTTTTGTGTGTGTGTGTGTTTTCTCGCACTGTAAATAGAGAAGTTAAAAAGAAAATATGTTCTTTCGTTTATAGGTGCTGATATTTTTGCTCTAAAAGACATTATTAATTATTTTTAAACTGATCTTTCATTGCAATGACAATTTATTATATTTAAAAATATTTTAAATAAAGGGCAGAAAGACTTTGCGCTCTTTTTGGCTTCTTCGCGAAAGTCACGCCACTTTTTATGAATTCTTTCGCGATGATGATTTGTATGTTAGCTCGCCTTGGCATTTGGCAACTACGCATAGCACTCGCACGTAACTCTAACGCACAAGGGTGCTACTCCAGTCATCCCGAAATAAAAAAGATAACAAAAGTATTAGGTCAATACATATAGTAAGGACTACGCTTCATGTCACCTTAGCTCGTTGTATTCAGTTACTTGTTGCGCTTTACTAGGGCTGACTTCGGCACAAGTTCCACGTGCAAACGAAGAACGTTAATCGATAAAACTGTGTAAGTGTATAGATCAAAGCAAGCACAAATATACCCTGGAATAAATCAAGCTGGTCACACCAACATTTGACCCTTGCAAAGTGCTCTTTGAACACAAAGAAAGACGCACAAAAAAAAAACAAGCAGTTCCCAACGTGAACGTAAGCTAAGTGTTTATTTGATCTATGCACTTTCTATCAGATTACATAACAATTCAGAATTGAGAAGTGTCAGATTATGGAACCTTACACTCTGGTATGGTAAAGTTGTACATAGTTATATTTTTAAAGATACCTTGTTAAAGAACAAGCGGTATGTTTTTTGCCTGATAACGTTACCATACCTTGTGAACACACACATCTTAAGCAACGCTACGCATTACTTCACGTTCACGAAGTATTGTTACTGCAGTTATATTTTTTTAGTTGTGACTTACATTGTGTCAGAAGCTTACGCTTTTTTCAAGGTCAAAGGTGATGATGATGATGATGAAGACGATATGTGGGGTTTAACGTCCCGAAACCACCACATGATTATCAAAAACGCCGTAGTGGAGGGTTCCGGAATTTCGAACCACCCGGGGTTCCTTAATGTGCACCCAAATCTGAGCACATGGTCCTATAACATTTCCGCCTCCGTCGGAGATGCAGCCGCCGCAGCAGGGATTTGATCTCGCGAACTGCGGGTCAGCAGCCGGGTATCTTAGCCACTAGACCACCGCGGCGGGGCAAGGTCAAAGGTGACGAAGCCGAAGCCGCGAAAATGAGGTGGTTTTGATTGCATATTTCTCAATAGCAACATTTTTTCGTCCTAACAATTTAAGTTCATTTGATTAACAACTGTTATGTGATCTCTTCCATCTAGCTGCTCGTTTCTTGGCCCATCTCCTACAGTGGGTGTGAGCCATGCATTTACGCCATCATCTTTATCAACTTACTGTATATGCTTATCTCTACCATCCTAAATATTGACAATTGGCGGGAAATAGAGTATGCAATACTAGTACAGCGTGCTGCTTTGCACGATTCACTGCTTTGAACTTGTGTCACGTAATATTATGTACAGAGGACTGAAGGTAACCGTGTTTTTCCCGCAAAGGGCAAGCTTTCTTCTATAGCCCCAGCACACACTTAACGTTTTAAAAAACATAACATCAACCTTTCTCCATTTGCTCCTACATTTAGCGTAGGTTTGAGGAACAGGATGGTAAGAGTTGACCACTCACGTGTTCGGCTGGTGGAGAACAGGTCAGTATCTTCCAGAGTAGCAAAGTTTGTCTTCACCTTGAATTTGATCTCCTGAGCAACATTGCTGTTGCTGTAGTTATACATAACGCCTTCATAAGCTGACTGAACTATGTTCAAGTCAGGTTTAAGTATAACACCTGAAAATGAAAAAAAAACGACACATCAAACATTCGATTGCTCAAGCGAAGGCTCATTCTTGTGAAAAACCGTAGTGACTGGACACCGCTGACCGACACAGCTAATGATAAATAGTGGTATATAAGGTTCGCAGGTCTAGACACGTAGTCTTCCACTTTTGTATTTAATAGTGGTAAATGTAGTGACGGGAGTATGTTCTCATGTCCCTTTGTGTCCGAAAGAGAATACACAGTTTGTCACGGCAAGTACCCACTGTTTACTTTTCATTTGTTTTTTGTTTGGCTTTGCGACAAATGCTTGCCTCATAGGAATAGTTTTTTATGGGTTATATGTGTGCATTATGTCCTATGTTGTTTTATGAATTTAAGAAGTACCTTTAGTTACTTATCGAGTATCCAGCGGTCATAGCTGGTCTCGAATCTTTTGTGGAATCTGGTTTAAACTAGAAGGTTGTAGCGTTTGATGGTAATAAAGAGGTGATCATACTAGCTGGTGCATATCTGTCGGCGTCAGAACTGCCATTCTGATCCCTGCCATTATGCTTAGAAACTTCCTAGAACTATGCGTGCATTCTACCTAGATGTGAGTGAAAGTCTATGCAATATGAATGCAAGTAATAGTAATGCTTAAATTGGTTAAGATGTATCTATATCAAAAATACAAACGGACTTCTCAATTGTTATTGCGTATAACTTGGGCAATATTCATAAGTAACGTCTCTTGCAACTGCTAAAAAGTGCATAAATGTTACGTACCCTGCATCTGCGCTGGAACCCGTGCTTCTTACGCTATAAGATGATAGCTAGATATCACGATGGGCACATTACTAAAACACAATATATCTCTTGTCACTGTATTACTTCCATATAAACTCTTAAGGTCTACCTTGAAGAAAAACGTCGTGTTTTATCACTACTAAGGTCACATTAAAACCAGATCAATTTTATTCTGTTCGCGATTTTGCGCGATTTGTTTAGAGCAGCTCATCTCTAAGTGAACTGTGGAACTTGTGGAACGCTGTGCCTAAGCACAAGGGCGTGGCTGGTAGGCGCCAACAGTGAGCCCGCTAACTTTCATTAAAAAGAATAGTGATCGTTTTGGTTAGTATCACACGCTTTGTTGCATTTTCACAGCCCCCGCCTGTTCGAGATCCCGTCGCATGATTGGCATAACGTTGGTAAAATATGTGCATGAGTGAGAACCTAGAAGCCTCAGATTATGTCTGCTACATTTGAGAAGCCAATTTATTGCCACCAGCTAATGCTGTTGTGGATAAAAGTGTCGATATTCAAAGTATTATGGCGTGCCTTATAAATGTTGTTACGGGGTACGTAAAATAGCTAAATGGCATAAGCAGACTTCGACCTCGATGAACCATCCAGAAGTTGGATAATTAGTTACGGCAGAACGAGGGTGAGAGAAAGCAAAAAGGAGAAAAGACACTGAGACACACCTATTTTCACAGCACCGGCATCTCGGAAAGTGTGTATGCAAAGGAGGATGGTCACGAAAAGCTTCTCCATCGGCTGGCTTCCCGAAGTCACGCACCGCAGTCTCATGCACAGCAGTCGGTGTCAGCTCACCACTCAATGCGCTTCCATGTCAAGTACGGGCCGAAAGGAAGTAACGCTGCTTTGTTCGGGGCGCCTGGGCACGCTTGGTGCATCGACAAGGATCCGGAGCAGGATGCCCCTCAGGGAACTGGCGAATGGATGCGGATCCCGAGACAGAGAGCATCGATCCCTCCTGCGTACACTTGCGCGACGGGAAGGCGCGAGGTGCATGACGTCACACTCGGTGGAAAGCACGTGCAGCGCCGCCCTATCGATCGATCTCCGTATCAACGTTGCCCGCCAGGGCACGCATGGATGGCAGGTGGTGGCGCTGGAGAACCGATCGGTTGTTGCCAGGCGAAGCCACGGTTCCGATTGCCGTACAATGGGTGCCTGGATGGGCACGTTCATGAGCCATGTGAAACGGGGCTTGCTCTGCTCAAATAGAATCGGAAGGCAGAGTGGGTGAGCGGCTGCTTCGTTGAGCCACCCGTGCTTCTGATCGGCTTCACATCGTAGAAAAATACGGTGAAATTGGACATACGGTGCTGCCGCGCATGTAGGTTCGAATGTTATGCATGGTGTTATGAGAGTGAAAATCTTTCATGATTTGAACGAATGAATGATTTGATTTTGTGTGTATGAGGTCCAGGTTGCACGAGTGGTGCGCAGCCCTAGAACATTGAGCAGCCAGAAAGTATTATGTCTGATGCGATAAAAATGTACAAGAGAATTACTTTTCTTCTAAGCGAACCATTTGTTAAGACAAATCTTTCAAATGAACGCAGATTTGTTCAAGCGAACATTTTTTTTTCTTCGTTTTCGCTCTCTGAATTTTTCCATGCATGTTTTTTAAAGCTGTTGAATTACCTACCTGTATTGATAGCCTTAGTAGCAAATATGTCTCAATGTGCATGAAAGTTTTTCACAGACTCATTTTACAGCCTCACAACTAAAGATACATAAATGGTTGGAAAACCAGCCTGCACACGAAACTCCTTAAGTCACCGTTTTCCCAAGTTATGGCATAAATAACGGCCACTAATGATTTCGCGCCACGAGATACTTTTTGCCTTTCATTAGGCAACAGCTGGAGTCACATCGTTTTGCCCTTTATCAACCTTGCCCTTTTGCGCGGCAGCTAGAACTCTGATAGAATGGAAAGTTGGGCTACCCTCCGCGGTGGTCGAGTGGCTAAGGTACTCGGCTGCTGACCCGCAGGTTGCGGGATCGAGTCCTGGCTGCGGTGGCTGAATTTCCGATGGAAGCGGAAATGTTGTAGGCACGTGTGCTCAGATCTGGGTGCACGTTAAAGAACTCCAGGTAGTCGAAATTTTGGAGCCCTCCAATACGGCGTCTCTCATAATCATATCGTGCTTTTGGGACGGTAAACTCCATAAATCAATCCATCAAAGTTGGGCTAGTTGAAATGCTTGCAAGATTGACGCAGCGCTATAGAGACGAACACAAAACGAGCGCTGTATTCCGTGTTCTTGCGTCTTCGTCTAGAGCACTGCGTCAATAATGCAAGATTCAACAGTGAACTTTTTTGGAAACATTTCGGCGTGCACACAATCGACGAAAAAACGCAAGGCCAGAAGACAAACGGGCCCGAACTCACAGAGAGAGGAAACTTTATTAGAACTTGGCCGGCAGCTTGGTCTTGGTGGCCTCAGATGGCGGCACTGAGTCCACAACTATGTTTATTGAAGGAAGTACACGAAATATAAATTTGAGGAGGCTGGTTGTGATTGAAAAAAAGAACAAGGAAAGAAAAAAGAAAAGCAAACGAGAACACGCTATGACAGTAATTATTTGCATTAGTGGCAACTATACGACGTGCTGCAGATCGTCAAAGTCGGGTACGGCTCAAAAAGGTGAACTCCTTGTCAGTTAGTGCGATGAAAGGGCAGCTTACGTATTCATCAGCAGACCTTCCGATAGAAAGCGCTACTATTATTTGCCGAGTTACCTTGTCTTTGTAATAAAACAAAATGTTCATGTCACACAAGACAGAATACCATTGGCAGCTGCTGTACTGCTCGGCTAGGTGGCAAATATTCTTTTTATTCAAAGATTGCATATGTTCGTGAAGGCGCGTTATAGTGCACCGGCAAGTATGACCTATATATACACGACCACAAGTTCAGGGCAGTAAATAAACAACCCCCATCCTGCACCTCATGAACGTTCTACTTTTTCTTGTAAGGCAAACACATTTTTCTTCTTATATTTATCAATTTTTTTGTTCACCGCACGGCAGATGCGTTGAAACTGATTCATCATCATCATCATCAGCAGCAGCTTGGCTACGTTCACTGCAGGACAAAGGCCTCTCGAAACCCGTGCCGAAACCCGTGCCGCTTCTCCGCAGCACGGGTTGCCGCTCCTCCGCGGCAAGCTCGAAACCCGTGCCGCTCCTCCGCGTAGCATTCGCAAGCCAAATCTCTTCCCTACCCTCTCTGACATATGACTGAGAGGTCACGTGCACATGACGTGCCTGAAGAAGCCCAGCCCCCGAGCACGCGAGCGGCGTTGTTTTGTTGACCAGCGTCTCTTTTGTGGTCTATCGCCTGTTTCTGAGGGATGGTTCGGAAACGCTGGCTTAGACATGGTAGAATAGATCAGGCGCGTAGCCAATGAGTGAGTGAAAACACTTCATTGTTGATCCGGCATAAAGGGGGAAGATGTAGGGAATGAAAAGAAGACTTTAGCGTGCTCTGACTTCCCGGCGCAGCAACCTACTAGCGGGAAACCCGTGGGGGCGCCGCTTTCAGGCGCTGCCATTCCAGGATGCCAAGCACGTGCTGGACCACGTCTGTTTGGTTGCCTGGCTCTTGGCTCATAATTTTGCTGCTGATCTTAGTTGTCATTTCTTCTTGGTTTCCTTGCGGTGGCGCACAGTCTCAGAGAAGATATCTCTGTGTGGCTCGAGCCTTCTTGTAGAGTTGGCATATATCTGTGGAGTATACTTCCGGGAAGACGTGCTTTGTCCACACGGCGGTTCATATGGCTTGTACCTGCAAGTGCCGTAGTGTGGCTGCTTTGCTGCGTTGTAGGTCTCGGTTACTGGCACAAATATAGAAAGAAATCAATAGGGGCGTAGCCAGAAATTTTTTTCATGAGGGGTTCACACCGACCCGACTGGGGAGGGGGGCAGGGCGTGAGCGTTCCTCTGTGGCGTGAGTATAAGTAGTAACTTGAGCAGATTGTGTACATATTATCGTATATTAGAGTCATGAGACCCCCCCCTCTCCACCCTTGGGTGTGCTTGTGAAGAATGTAACGAAAAGAAAAGTAATTATTGACTGATTGATTGTTTGATTGATTGATTGATTGATTGATTGATTGATTGATTGATTGATTGATTGATTGATTGATTGATTGATTGATTGATTGATTGATTGATTGATTGATATGTGGTGTGTACTGTCACAAAACCACCGTATGAATATGAGAGGCGCTGTAGTGCAGGGCTCCGGAAATTTCGACTACCTGGGGCTCGTTAACGTGCACGCAAAACTGAGCACATGCACATGCAGCATTTTTGCCTCCATAGTAAGTGCAGCTGCCGCAACCGGGAATCAATATGGCGACCTGCGGGTCAGCAGCCGAGCACCTTAGCAAATAGACCACCGCAGTGGGTGTAAACGACAAGTGGAGTAACCGTTTGAAGCAACGGCTTCTCGTCGTACCGTTGAATGGACTAGTCTTCGAAAATGCATAATTGCGATGACCGTCCGTTCGGAGTATGCATCCTCATTCGTTAATCTCTGTTAAGCCTCGATAGCGTAGTCCTCGTGGTGGCGAGGTGCGTTTCACAAATCAAGGACGGCTCCGCTTACTGCGAGGAATGAGAGGTATACGTAGCATGTTCTTGTACAATCATAATTACATTCCGGTTTCGCTTACTTTGCTGAGCGAAACGTTTCTTACTGCCGATGTTTGTGACAGCATGCTGATTGAAATCATTTTTACGTTAAGTTTTATTGTTGAGCAGCCCTGACGCATTGATAGCTTTTAGTCAAAATTTTTACTTTACTACACACATCCAAGCATGCTTGCGATACGAAATAAGTAGATTTTTTGCTAGTTTTGCCTAACGTTGGCAACACAATTTCGCACGCGTTATTTTCAAACAGCTTTTTTCGCAACCTTCGTTGACAATACAGGTATACTCTGACTTTTAATAGCAATAAAGCGCTCAAATCGTGAAGGTTTCATCGTGCAATCTGCAAGGGCAAGATAATCAATGTTGAGAAATGTTCTGTTGGTCTCAATAAAAAATGTACCTGGGACCAGACTATACCTACTCACATAGAAATAGCTTGCTCGCTGAGTATAAGCGCTAGAAAGCTTAAGTATGCGCAAAAACACATAATGTTTTCGCTTTTTTTTTCGTTGATTTCGCCGGTCTGCTCTTTGAAACGACATCGTTGCGGCAAGGTGTCTTCCATTATTTGCAAGCGCGCAGCCGCCATTTTCTTTTACGTCACCAGATTCATAACTGTACAGAATATTTTACTGCGCAGCATATATATATATATATATATATATATATATATATATATATGTCATGCGTACGTCATTCTAACTATAGTGCGTCATTCATGTTTGCAGCACTTACGCTAGCGCGAACAGGAGCAGCCTCGTACCACACAAAATCTTGAGTAATCGGTTCACTAGTGATGAAGAAATGAACGCTGGTCTTCTTCAGACCATAGTGCACCATAATCAATCTCAGAACGTATGAACTTCGACGAGAACTGCTAGCGCATGCAACACAAGTTTACTTACGCTGCTGTCACGGTGTGAGATACTGGCTGCTGTGCACCATCCGTGCCTGTAGGTTGTCTGTTGCAGGCATTCTGATGCGAGTCGCTGGAACTTCAGTGCTGGTATCACCACCTTCGCGTTTAGTGACGTTTGTGGAATGGCATCACAGCACAACAGAACCTACCAGCCTTATGTAGAGGCGTAATCCCAAACGCGAGATGTTTCGCGCACAGAGTCGGATACTGGGCACGTGCGTCCTTACCGGCAGCTGAAGGGAAGCATGGAAAATGCGTACCGGCAAATCTTTCCGCCAGGGCAGAAACGAGCGCTAGTGTTTGAGGCGGAACATTACCAGCCGACGTGTATTGTCGCTAAATTTCTCGTTTCTCGCCTTTAGTTCCACTGCCCGAACATT